CGGGCCCGGGAAACTTTCAACGTCTGCAGCCGCAACTGACAGCCTGGGCGGGCGGCGGCGCCGCGACTCACCTTCAGACAGGTCCTCGATGCACTCGAAGGTGATCTCGAACTGGAACGGGTTGTAGAAAGGAGAAGGGTTATCCAGCACCACTACATTGTTCACCTGAACCTTTGCCATATTTTGAAAAAAACACAAACAATGGGGACGGGGGCTTGTTGCGGCACAATAAAGTCCAGCGCGCGGCCGCTCGGAAGAGCGCAGACCCCCGCCCCGGCACCGGCCCGACGTCGTGCAGCGGCGACTTGAGAAACTTTTTTTTCCTCTTTTTATTTACACGGGAGCACTCCACAGTGTTTTGCAGCTTTCCTATTTCACTAAACTACAGCCCATTCTGCTCTGATAACTAGCAGCGTTGCCCGCGATTGGCTGCACCCGAGCTCTGACCCTCCTCCTCCAGCGAGGGCCTCGGCGGCAAACAAGATAGGCTCCCGCTCCCGGAATGGACTCGGAAACTTTAACTGCGGCTCCACCTGCTGGTGTGGATTAGGACAAAGGCGGAGAACAAAGTGAGTGGAATACGGGCTGGGAGGCCCGCGCGGAGGCCGCCGGCGGCGGCAGCTGGGGGAGGGGCGGCCCAGGCCCCGCCCCCGGCCCGGCGACTCCCGCGCCTCACGTCGGGCGTGGCCGCGGTAGGGATGGGAGGGGGCGTGGCCGATGTGGGGGCGTGGCCGCGGTGCGGACGGGGCGGGAGGGCACGATCCCGCCCCTCGTGTGCTCCGGGAGGGTTTTGGGTTTTTTTTTTCTTTTTCTTTTTTTCCTTTTAACACTCTTTTTACATCAGTGCAACGGATCTGTCGGCTCTGCTGAATTTAACAGATCAGATTCAGTTGTCCACACTTGGTTAGGCTCAGCTGTCTTGTATCATGTAATTGGAGTAGAGAGAAGGGTTGGTTGCAGTGGAAATAAATTCTATTTTATAGACCAATGTCAGCTCTGAAGGAGCAAAGCCATTTTGGAAATCGAGTTCTTGGCTAGTGTCTACGTTTAGGCACGACAGCTCCGTTAAATACATACAAAATGAAGGGCGAGGAGATGATTTTCCACACACACTTTGCTTAGAAAATCCAAATAGGTAATCCTTGGCTGCACCTGGGTTTTCTAACTCCCATTCCAGATCTTCTAGAATGAGAAAAACAAAACAAAAACAGACATGATGAGTTACACTCCAGGTTTTTGCCATTTGGGGAGCATAAAAGAAGAAAATGGAAGTGTCCAAGACCCAAAACGACGACAAATGTAGGCAAGGGAAGTGGAAAGAACACAAAGGTATATTAAAACATTTGATTTTTAAAAAATTTACAACCTAAGCCATTACTAAATAAAAATGTCAGTAAAACAAATTTTGAGGCCCTTTTACTTTCCTGTAGCCAGTTAAAATCTGAACTAGGAAACATCGATTATTTATGCTGCTTGACTACCATTATGAAAAACAGTTTTTAGCATGTGTGTGTCAACTGTTATTATTTACTGATCAAGAGTGACATAAAGGTTTGTTTTATGATGGTTTTATTCACAAACTATCATTTTTTCCTTAAACGTTGTAAATGAAATCACTAAACTTGACTGAAATTCAAAGTGAAATTATTTCCTAAGTATCTGAAGAGTGTTTTCTTTGTATGGTGCCCCAAATTTTAATTAGTCATTCTTTGGTCATTGTTCATACTTAAGTAGATTTTTTTTTTTTTTGTACCCAAGATTGAACCCAGAGCCACATCTTAGCCCTATTTTTATAATTTATTTAGAGACAGGGTCTTGCTCAGTTGCTTATGGCCTTGCTAAGTTGCTGAGGCTGGCTTTGAACTCTTGATCCTCCTGCCTCAGCCTCCCCAGCTGCTGGGATTACAGGCATTCTTTTGATGAGATGTCTTCATCTAATGATCTTTTAAAGTTAATGTGGGACAGTTAATATCAGGGTCCCAACGTTAAAGAAAGTTAATTAGACTGGGAGGGGGATGCCATTTTGTTGTCAATGGATTGGATAGTCTAATAGGACCTACATAAGTTTTCTTCAAGTCTAGTTTTTTGTGCACATTTTAGTAAAAATGTCATACTTGGTGATAGAAACAGATTACTGTGGCTGATAAACAACATACTCTTCACTCTTATTAGTTCTGGTCTTTATACCTGTAAAGATAAAGTAGAAATTGCTGTATAATGTAAGATACGCTGGATAGGGAAGGTAAAATGACCATTCAAAGATTGAAACATGAGTCCTGTGACAATGTGCATGCAGTTGTCTGATTATTGCAGATGCTAATTCACTTGTATTTTAAAAATGAGGTTATATGCTTGTTAAAATGAAATGCAGCCAGCCTGGTGGAGCAGTCTTGCAATTACAGTGACTCTGGAGGCAGAGGCAGAAGTATTGCAAGTTTGAGGCCAGCCTCAGCAATTTTAGTCAAACCTTCAGCAACTTAGCAAGATCCTGTTTTAAAATAAAAAGGACTAAGGATGTAGCTCAGTGGTAAAGCACCCCTGAGTATAATCCCTAGCACCCCCTAGAAAAGAAACAAATGCATTTTGCAGTTTGACCTAAGGTGTCTTCTAATGAAGCCAGGCTTACAAAAAAAAAAAAAAAGAGTTTTGATGGATGTGCTGTATCAGAAACTGAGAAGATCTACTTGGATACCACTAGTTTGGCTTATTCTACAATTTTTTTAAATATGTCATGTACAACAGTATTTAAGGAAAAAACATCTTCATAATGATTTTTTTAAGTTGTCAATGGACATTTATATTATTTATTTATATGAGGTGCTGAGGATCGAACCCATTGCCTTACACATACTGGGGAAGTGCTCTACCATTGAGCCACAAACCCCAGCCCCTTAATAATAATTTACTGGAATATGCAAGGATGAATTATAGGCCTCTCACACTGCCTTTCTTAAATGTTATTAGTGCTCATTGAAAATATTAAAGGGTCTTTGAGCACTTTTTTCAATAGTTTCCTCACCATATACAAGACCAAAATAATTCATCAGATGGATATTTTGAAATTACAGTATGCTTTAAGGGAAAAAAAAGTAAAAAGCATATCTCTCTGGTTTCAGAGGAACTGTTGTTACTTAACAACTTTTTGATGACTCCCAAACAACAAGCCATATTGCAACTGATGGATCACTATGTATGTTTTCATTCATTAAGTACCCAAAGGGTTACAGAAGAGGTTTGGACAGCTATGTGAAATGTAAGCCCCAAATTTCTAGGGGAAGAATGGCTGAGAGATTGTTTGGCTTTTAAGATGAACAAAACCTAAATTAGTGCCTAGGGCAGAAATAAATGAACCTAGTTACCTGTTGTTTTAAGCTGAATTATGTCTCCCCCAAATTCATATGTTGAAACATTACCATCTAGTGCCTTAGAATGTGACTATATTTGGAGATAGGGCCTTTAACAATGTGATTAAATTAAGTGAGGACATTAATGTGCACCCTAGTCTAGTCTGGTGTCCTCATAAAATAAGAAGATTTTGACTTATAAATAAACACCAGGGGCATACATACACACAAAAAAGAACATGTAAGGACACCGCAAGAAGAGAGCCATTTAGTCAACTTCAGAAGAAATCAACCTAACCTAACATCTTCATCTTGAACTCTAGCCTCTAAGATGGTGAGAAAATAAATTTCTATTGTTTTATGCTTCCAGTCTCTAGTTTTTTGTCATGGCAGCCCTAACAATCTAATACAGCTATGATACATTTTTCCCACTAAAAATTAAGCTTATTTGAAAGTCTAAACTTATTTAATCCTAGTATTGATGAGTTTTAAAGTGAGTTTTGTGGTATGAAATGAGGTGGTCATTTAGCTGTGCCAGTGGGGGTATGGTGTAGTGGGTGTAGCCATTCTTCAGAGAAGTATCTATTATTGAGCATACAGCTTGAGTTTTGAAGAAACAAGATGTAACTTGTCTCTGTGGGTCCAAGTCTCCTCTATAGAGGGCTTCTAAGAATCTGAAATGTGAAGTCAAAGTGAGGTCACACACAAGATGAAAGAGTAAAGTAAAATACCGTAGAACTAAATAAAATTAATTTAAAATGTGTTGTATTAAAATATATTATAACTAGGAATTAAGTTGAGTCTCAATTTCTGACTTTTGCAAAAGTTATCACAGGAATGAAAGTACTAATGTCTTAGTTTTGTTCACATCACCAGGTTTTTCATCTGGGATAATTAATGTTATCACTTCGTTGAGTTGTCTTTGAAGAGTCATTTGTATTATTGTCCCCATCATTAAAAAAAAAAAAGTAAGACTTGTTTTTTGGTATTCTTTGGGTTTTGTTGTTGTGATAGTTTGTTTCTTGTGATGCTGAGGATAGAACCCAGGGTCTTGCACATTGCCAGGCAAGTGCTCTACCAAAGTAGTTTTTAAATGAACTTTAGTTTAAAAGGCTGTCTTTTATTGACTAGTGATGAAATGTCAAAATTTAATGATAGTTTTAAGTTTTTCTTTAAAAATGTAGAATGTAGAAATTTGCTGTAGTTTATGGATATTGCTAAATGGGATAAATTCCAGAGTAATGATTGGGTAATAATTCATTGCACATATGTACAAAGAGTATTATGTGAGATTTCTGTGCTAGACTCAGTGAAATATTCAAAGATAAGACTTACAAAGACATTATAGTCTAGTAAGAAAGGTAATTTATGTAATTAAATAATTGTGATACAAAATAGAAAGTATTACTTGTAACTTCACTGATGGATGTTAAAATGGGCAAAAGAAAAAGGTGTGTTTTTTTTTTTCACTATTTTTAAAGGACTTTTAAGTAGCCTATGTTTTTGAGCTGTCCGGTACCCTGATATGGTGGAGGATGAGGTGTTATCATCCCATTTAACAATCGAGAATGCAGGTATATGTAGGCAGTGAGTGAGCAGAGGACTCAGCCCAGGCAAAGCTGAGGGAGTCTCCCCAAGGAGGTACTACAGAGATCCAGCCTTCTGCTGCAAAAGAGGAGGATGGAACTACACATCCTGAAATGTAGCCTTGTACATGTTATAAGGTTTCCATGTCCATTGCATAATGTGTTCTTTCCTATTCTCTGCTCTACTTCATTAATCAAAGTCATCACTTATATTCATTGCTTCCCATCATGAGATTACAAGTTTGTGAAAGTATAGATATATTTAATTCCTTATGATTTACATATTTATAACTTTGATAGCTATAAATTATATTATTCAGCTTCCTGTTTTATTTTTTGTACTGGGGATCAAACCAAAGATCCTGCACATGCTAGGCAAGTACCATACCACTGAACAATTAAGAAAGTACGTTTCTGAGTACCAGCATCCTTAGTTGTTAAATGGGATGATATCACCTCATCCTCTTACCATATCAGGATACTGATCAGCTCAAAAACACAGGCTACTTAAAAGTCCTTTAGAAATAATAAAAAGAAACCGTCTTTTTTCTTTTGCCCATTTTAACATTCCAGCCCTTTTTGTTTGTTTTGAGGCAGTGTCTCTGTAAGTTGCCCAGGTTGGCCTCAAACTTGTGATTCTTCTGCTTTAGACACCTAAGGTGCTGGGATTATAGGTGTGTGTGCCACTGTGTGTCTGGCTTCATTCAGCTTTCTGAAGCACCATAATTATGTTTATTGTTGACAGTTTGTTGGTCTTAATATAATATTGGTTTTGGCCAAAAGAATATGAATAGAAATGCCTAACACAATTGTTTTTTGTTTTTATGTCTATTTTTTTTTTTACTATGTCTTCTTCATTCTCTTTTAAATCGAGCTCCTTTTACATTCTTGAACTTAGTCTCCCTTAGTCTCTCTTCCTTCGTGTTTTGTGTTTCATCCTTTTCTGTCTCTAACCTTTGCCTCTCCCATTCATTAGAGGATCTCCTCTTACCTGATACAGGGGAAAAGTGTGATCAATAAAGGACTCAAATCTTTAAGACATCTCTAGGCTAGACCACTGCTTGTACAGAGCCACTGCTGATCATAGCAGCCTTTTCTAGTCGGTTACTATAGAGACAAATGACATTAGATGGAGTCACGCTTGGCAGAAACTAGGCAAGTAGGCTTTGTGAGATGGGAGGCCTTATATGCACAGTCATTTAGAGTCAAAAACTGGGAAGGTTAAGAAGGGGACAGTTTTCACAAATGAGCTAATACGTAATTAATTGGTAGATGTTTGGTTGCTATAATTTGTGCCTGCAGAGGTATTGATTCTGACATACGATGAATCCACCTCCAAGTATCATCTGGTATGATTACACAGTAATATTTTTTAAATGACAGTTTTATTGAGATATAAACATATCACATAACATAATTCATTCATTTAAGGTAACTGAGTCAACAGTTTTTAGGATATTCACAATTATACATCCATCACCACAATTTTAGAATATTTTCATCATCTCAAAAACATACTTTATACCCTTAGCTATCACTCCTAGTGCTCCCTCCCCCCCACAAGTAGATAGCAGCTGAATTACTTTCTGTCTATAGATTTATCTATCCTGGATATTTAATATAAGTAGAATTATATAATAGGTGTCTTTTGCAACCTCCATCTTTCATTCTTTTTGATGTTTTCATCTATGTTATAGCACTTACTGATATTTAATTCCTTTTAATTACCCAATAATCTATTATCCCTTGATGGATTGTTTCTACTTTTTGACTTGTATGAATAATGTTGCTGTGAACATTTATGTACAGGTTTTCATTTTTATGAGTATATGCTTAGGAACAGAATTCCTTGGTGATATATACACACACACACACACACACACAGGCGCACACACACACACACACACGCGCACACACACACACACACACATAGACTTTTGAGGAGTCACCATTTTACATTCCCACCAGTAATGTGTGAGTCTTCCAGATTCTCCGCATTACCATCGACACTTGTTCCTGTTTGATTACAGCTATGATAGTGTATGAGCAGTATCTTATTGTGGTTTTGATATGCATTTCCTTCATGGCTAGAGATGTTAAACACCTTTCATTTATGTATTGGCCATATGCCTGTCTTCTAAGGAAAAGTATCTAGTCAGATTTTTTGCCCATTATTAATTCATTTTTTATTCTTTTATTATTGAGTTGTGGTTTTTACATATTCTAAATACAAGTCTCTTATCAAATACATGGCTTGCAAAAATATAAACCAATTCTATGGATTAATTTTCTTGGTAGTATCCTTTGTAACAAAGGGCCTACATTGTATCCATTTTCTCTCTTCTGTTTTTTGTTTGTTTTTGTTTTTTGCTTGTGCTTTTGGTGTAGTTTCTCAAAAACCATTGTCTAATCCAAGGTCATGGAAATTTACACCTGCTTTCTTCTAAGAGTTTTATACTTTCAGCACCTCACAGTTAGGTCTTTGATCCAGTTTAAATTAATTTTTGTGTATAGGTTGAAGTCAGGAATTCAAATTCATATTTTTCTGGATATCCAATTTACCAACAGCATCTAATGAAAAAAGTATACTTTGACTTGGAACTCTTATCAAAAATGAATTGACCAGCCGGATGCAATGTCTCATACCTGTAATCCCAGCAGCTCCAGAGGCTGAGGCTGACGGATCATGAGTTCAAAGCCAGCTTCAGCAACTTAGTGAGGCCCTAAGCAATTTAGCAAGACTCCGTCTCAAAGTAAAATCTAAAACTTGCTGGAGATGTGACTCAGTGGTTAAGGGGCCCTGGGTTCAATCTCTGGTAACCCCCGCAAATGAATAGACCTGAAATGAATGAGTTTATTTCCAGATTTCCAGACAATTCTGTTTTGTGAGTTGTGATTGATCCATATTCTCTCTCGCTTTTTTTTTTTTTTCAACCACTGAGCTACATTCCTAGCCCTTTTAAAATTTTTTATCTTGAGACAGGGTCATGCTAAGTTGCTGAGAGTCTCACAGAATTGTGGAATCTGGCTTTAAACTTGCAATCCTGTTTGTCTCCTGAGTCACTAGTATCACAGGCACACACCACTGCACCCAGATTGTTGATCCTTAATCATATACTATTGCCACATTTTCTTGTTACTATAGCATTGCAGTAAGTTTTGAAATCAGGAAATAAGTCCACTTTTGTTCATTTTTCAAGATTGTTTATTTGGGATCCCTTGAATTTCCATATGAATTTTAAGAATACCTTATTAGTTCTGCATAGAGCCATCTGAGATTTTGATAGGATTTTCATTGAATCTAAAGATTACTTTGAGGAGTATTACTATCTTAATAAAGTATTAAGTTTTTCCATCAGTGAATGTGAAATATCTTTTCAATTATTTGGTCCCCCTTAGTTTTTTCAATAATATTTTGTAGTTTTCAGAGTATAAATTTTGCACTTCTTTTGCTAACTATTCCCAAGTACATTATTCTTCTTTTGATGCTTTTGTAAATTGAAACATTGATCATAATTTTTTTCATTTGTATTTGCAACTGAATAGACATACAATTTTTATTGTATCCTTCAGTCTTGATGAACTCAATTATTCTTATAAATTTTTAGTGGCCTCCTTAGGGTTTTCTATATGCAAGATCATGTCACCTGGAAAAAAGTCTCTAAAATAGAGATACTTTTACTTCTCCCTTTCCTTTTCAAGTGCCTATTATTTTTCTTGCCTAATTGCCCTACCTAGAACCTCTAGCCTTCCTTCTGCTTGCTTTGCGTTTAGTTTGCTCTTCTTTTTCCCATTTCCTTAAGGTAAAATTTAGGTTGTGAAATATATTATGGTTCTATATTTTACAGGCCCAACAATGTAATTACCTATGTTATTTTATACAATTTCTTTAAAAATCAGTTTAGGAAAGAAATATGCCTTTAAACTGATTTTGCTAATTGCATAATTACCTTTGCTGATGCTTGTTTTTCTTTCTTATGGATTTAAATTACTATCTGGGGTGATTTTGCTTTGACCCTGAACTTTCTTTTAATTTCTTTTTTCCCACTTTTTTATTGGTACTTTATACAAAATATTGACTGCTTCACAAATTTGCATGTCATCCTTCTGCAGAGGCTGAGCTTATCTTCTCTGTTTCATACCAATTTTAGTATATGTGCTGCTGAAGCAAGCACATTAAGTAATTTCTTAAAAGTAATTCTTTTATGATGGGTCTGCTTGATGCTAATGCTCCTAGCTTTGTTTATCTGGGAATGTCTATTTTGTCTTCATTTGGGGAAGATAGTTTTGCTGGATATGATTCTTGGTTGACAGTTTAATTCTTCTAGCATTTTGAATATGTTGTCCCACTGCCTCTGACCTTCACATGTTCTGATAAGTCAACTCTTAATCTTTTTCTTATTTTTAATTTTAATTAACAATAGTTCTACAAACTTATGGTGTATAGTGTGGTATTTTAGTCCAAGTATCCATTGGTCAAGTCAAGGTAATTAGCAGATATGTCACCTTAAACATCATTTTTTTTTTGTAGTAAGAAAACTCAAAATTCTCTATTCTAGCTATTTTGAGTATAATAAGTTAGTGTTAATTATAGTTACCCTGCTATATTGTAGAGCATTGGAACTTATTCTTCCTATCAAATTATAGTTTTGTACCATGACCAACCTCTTTATGTCCTCTCTCTCTTTCACAGCCTCTGGATATCACTGTTTTATTCTCTACTTCTAGGATACCAACTTTTTTACCCTCCACAAATGAGTGATACTGTGTAGTGTTTGTCTTTCTATGCCTGGCTTACAAATTAACACCTGTCCTCCAGACTAGACTCATCCATGTTGCCAAAAGTGACAGGATTTTATTCTTTTTTATGGCTTAATAATAATCCATTATGCATATATACCATATTTTCTTTATTCATTATTTTGTTGATAGACACACAAGTGTATTATCTTGGCTATTACAAATAGTGCTACAATAAACATGGAAGTACAGCTATCTCTTTGACATATTGATTTCCTTTCCTTTGGCTATCAAAGTAGCTAAAGTAATGGGATTGGTAGTGGGATTGCTGGAGCATATGGTATTTCTGTTTTTAGTTTTGTGAGAAATCTCTATATGGTTATTTGTATTGATTATAGTAGTTACATTCCCACCAACAGTGTAGAAGAGTTCTCCTTTATCACCATCATTGCCAACATTTGTTACTTTTTGTCTTTTGGGTTAACAGTTATCTCTTCAATCTTATAGGGGCTCCCCTATAAGTGAAAAGTTGTTTTTCTCTTACTACTTAAAATTATTTTTTTCTTTTTACCTTAGGTTTTCAGTGTACTGACTATGTTTTTGTGAATTTCTTTATTTTGCTTGAGGATTATTGAGCTTCTTGGGTGTGTGAACTAATGTTTTTCATCAAAATTAGAAAGTTGTCAACCATTATTTGTTCTAAGATTTTTTTCTGCTTGTCTCATCAGCTTTCCTCCTCCTAATATTCCTATTATTTATATATGTGTCCATTAAAGACATACAACATTTTTATGAGCGCCTACCCATTTTTTTTTTGTTATACCTTTCCCCTCCTTTTGTATTGCATAGGTTCTACTGATGTGTTTTGAGATTTGCCAACTCTGTCTGCTAGTTCTAGAGTTGAGCCATCCAGTGAGTTTTTCATTTCAGTTATTGTGCATTACAAATCCAGAATTTCCATTTGTTTCTTATCATTTTAATATCTTAATATTCTCTATTTGTTGAGATATTGTCCTTTCCTTGTCTTTGGTTCTTCAAACATTTATAATTGCTGCTTTGAAGTCTCTGCGTATTAAGGCTAACATCTGGGCTCTCTCACAGCCAGTGTCTCTTGCCTTCTTTTTCTATGCATGGGCCATGTTTTCCTGCTTCTTTGTGTGTCTTATAATTTTTGTTTAAAACTGAGTATTTTAATTAGTATATTGTTGATTCCCTTCACCCTTTCCAGGGCTTATTTTTTGTTGTTTGTTTATGTGTTAAGTAACTCAGCTAGGTTATTTTAGTGAATTAAGTGACCCTGGCAGTATAGTCTCTGATGTTACTCCTTAAAGGGAACAGGCTTTTGCATGCATGCAGTCACTTGAGGGTGATAATGGTTTCAGCAAGACTTTTCTCTTCTCTGAATCTCCTTGTTAAGCTGTCTGCCCTATTTGGTGTAATATGTTCCTGTTAGGCTCCCTTTATTGCTTACTACTATATAGTTTTTTGTTTTTGTTTTTGGTAAAGGATTGAGCCCAGGGTGCTTAACCACCAAGTCACACATCCCCAGTCTTTTTTTATTATTATTATTTTTTTTAATTTTGAGACAGGGTCTTGCTAAGTTGCTTAGGACCTCACTAGGTTGCTGGGGCTAGCTTTGAACTTGCGATCCTCCTGCCTTAACCTCCCGAGCTGCTGGGATTATAGGCCTGGCACTCTCTATTAGTTTTGACAAAACCCCAGGGCATAAGTTGGTAGGTATTCTGGACCAATTACATCTGGTCAGAAGTAGTTTTTTTGTTAGGTATTTGAGATTTGTTCTGACCCTAAGAGGTGTCTTCTTAGCTCTTTTCCTGGTTCTAAATGGTAAACTAGCACCAACTATAATTTAGTTTATTACTAAATAAGCTACCAGCTGCTGCCGCCGCCGCCGCCTCCTCC